GTCTTAACTGTTAAGGAAAGCATGCAGTTTTTGGTAGTTATGTTCTCTCCTGTGGATCAGAAGCTATGCCCTGAATTGTATCTGCCTGTGCTTTGTGTCTGAGCTTGATCCTAATATCAGGAAACGCAAGCTAGTTTTGCAGCGAACACAAGCTCTTTTATTATGTGGAAATTAAACATCAATCGATGTGTAGCCACAAAGAAGCATGGCAGGACACAGTGGTGCTTCTGCTGACATGACATGTCCCATAGGGATTCAACAGGACACAGTGGTGCTTCTGCTGACATGATATGTCCCATAAAGAATTGTGCGTGCAATCCAAAGTCTGGCATTTTGTAGCTTTGGTAACTCATATTTTCGTAATATAAATTAAAAACAAACAAACACGACACAACAAAACACAACTGTTTGCTACAAGTGCTTGTGTTTCTAAGCTTAGGACAAGCAGTGCTGCAATAGTGTACAGTGGATCTTTCACAGTCTCAGTAGTTTTTTTAGTGTTGCTAGAAGTAATAGTGGGGATGCCTCAGTCAACTCTTCTGTAGGTTATAGAACCTGCTACTTGTCTCCTTTTAGTGGCAGTGAGATAGTCAAGTTGACCTTCCAGAGGAAAAAGACCTATAAAATAAACAAAATTATTTTTCTGCCTTCTGATGGGGGTTAATTCTGACCTCGTGATGTTCTGATACCAAGCCTGACGCATTTTTCCTTAGGCTAAAGGACTAAAAGTCTCTCATAGGCATCTGGTCCATTTGGCTGCTTCTGGGAGTGAGTGAAGGTTACAGCAAATGCACAATATCTCAGAAGCCTTGAGTTTCAGTGATAAGCTGTTCTGCAAATCACAATTTTCGGTGGCTAACAACTTTTCCAAATCAAGACAGGTTTCCATAGAAACAGAAGAAATGCTGTGTGTGGAATTATGGTCTTACCGTAATAATATCTTAACTCCCCCTCAGTCTGGTAAAGGTATTTGGAATAGACATGTTAATAAGTTGGAAATACTTACTGGGTTGTCCATCCTATGTATGTTCCTCTGTTCTCATTCTCAAAAGCAACAAAAACATTCCGAAATCTGTTTAAAGGTGAAGTTTATAAAAATCACATGCTCTGTATGGCTCTCTGGTTTGGTTTGAATGTTCTGAAATAAAACACTAAATAAAAATAATCACTTGAGTAATGTGTTAGAATAAACGCAGATGATCAACACAGGCAGGTGTGTGCTAGTGGGTTCAGCTGGAAAGGCTTATAAGAAATGATCTATTTTCAACTGGAGGTCACTGTGTGCGTAGTTGAGAGCCAGAACAGATGATGCACCAAGGGAAAGTCATGCTTGATCAACCTCTTAGTTATTTTATTATAGAAGTGTAGCTTGGGGACAGGGGACAACAGTGGCTATTGTCTGCCTTAATGTCATTAAGGGTTTTGACTCTATCTTCCATAACGTCCTTTCAGAGAAGCTGCTCAAATATGGGCTGGATAAGCAGACAGTGAGGTGGATTGAAAACTGGCTGAATGGCTGTGCCCAGAGCATGATGGTCAGTGGCACAAAGTCTAGTTGGAGGCCAATAACTAGAGGTGTACCTAAGGTCAGTACCGGATCCAGTGCTGTTTAATGTCTTTATTAATCATCTGGGTGACAGGGCAGAATGTAGCCTCAGCAAGTTTGCTGATGACACAAAACTGGGAGGAGTGGCGGGATAGGGTAGAGGGTCATGCTGTTGTCCAGAGAGACCTCGACAGGCTGGAGAAATGGACTGACAGGAACCTCATGAAGTTCAGGGAGTGGAAGTGCCCATGGGGAAGAACAACTCCATGGGGACCACCCAGCTGTAAAGCAGATTGGTAGAAAAGGGCCTAGGGGTCCTGGTGGACACCAAGTTGACCATGAGCCAGCACTATGCCCTTCTTGCAAAGAAGTCAAATGGTATCCTGGGTTTCGTTAGGAGGAGCATTGCCAGCAGATCAAGGGAGGTGATCCTTCCCTTCTACTCAGAACTGGTGAGGCCATGCCTTGGGTACTGTGTCCAGTTCTGGACTCCCCAAAAGAGGACAGATAAGGAGCTACAGGAGAGAGTCCATTGGAGATGATTAAGGGACTGGACCATCTTTCCTATAGAGAAAGGCTGAGAGAGCTGGGACTGTTTGGCTTGGAGAGAACTCTGCAGTGTTTACAAATAGTTGGAGGCAGGATGTAAAGAAGATTGAGCCAGGTGGTGCCCAGTGACAGGCTAGCAGGCAATGGGAACGAACTGAAATATAGAAGGTTCCCTCTAGACATCAGGAAACACTTTCTCATTTGAAGTTGAGCAAGTACCGGCACAGGTTGCCCAGGGGGGTTGTGGAGTCTTCATCCTTGGAGATACTCTTGTCTGTCTGGATGTGGTCCTTGGTAGCATGCTCCAGGTTGCCCTACTTGAGCAGGAGGGGTAGGTAAGGTGACCTCCAGAAGTCTGTTCCAACCTCAGCCATTCTGTGGATTGATTGTGTGAGTCTGCATAGTTCCATTCCAGTGCAAAATGAAACCATTTCATTTGCGTCACCTTTTCAGTGAAATAAAAAATCGATGTGGGACCTCCAGGACTGACCTAAACCCTCGTCCCCTCCTATGCTGAAGTCCTCATTTCTGATCAGTTGCTGATGATACTGTACCCTGACACTGCCTGGGGATCTCCCATTTCAGCAGCTGCCTTCTAAGTGGGACATTTGGAATGACTTGGCTTAAAAAAATAAGAACTTTTGGGGTCTTTGACCGTTACAAAACCAGATAACTTTATAGTTGATGGGAAGACAGAAGAGCAGTTGAGGAATGCAAGATGGTAAAAAAATGACCCTGTAGCTGAGGAGTTTGTATTATAGAAGTAGCACCTGGAAGCATCCTGACAACCTGTTGCTCTTTCCAAGGTGTGAAGCCTTGCTGAATTAATCCTAATCGCTACGGAGGAGCACAGCTGTGTGTATTCTGTCAGGAATTGCTTCCTGAGAGAACATGTAACTGCAGATACCAACATAGCATCATACTGGGAACAGTGTAGTGGTGTTGTGTTGTGTGTGTTGGTTTTTTTGGTGACGGTTATTTCTTGTGATCAGAGACAACTTTTCAAATTGCGCAGCGTATGACTAAATTGGGAGACCAGCTCACTCTTCAGTGTTCGGGCTGCTTTGCAGCTGCCTTAGGAAGGGTTCTTTTGCTGATGTTGAATAGAGCGCAGGTCACAAAAGTCAAGTTATATTTTTAAATCAAGTGTCAGGCTTCTAGAAAATCAGTAGTTTTCCTGGTTTTGCAGGGAACTTGCTCAAAGCCTTAGCATTTTGGACTTGGGACTTGTTTTTAAATCTAATTTAGTATTTGTTTTTTTTCTCCCTTGCTTTAGTGATGTACTGTGTTCAAGTGTCAGGCTTCTAGAAAATCAGTAGTCTTTCCTGGTTTTGCAGGGAACTTTCCCAAAGCCTTATCATTTTGGACTTGGGATTTGTTTTTAAATCTAATTTAGTATTATTTTTTTTTCTCCTTTGCTTTAGTGATGTACTGTGGTCATTTTTCTTATGTCTTTAACGGAGTTGAGAAGTTGTCGGAGTCCAGTACCCTCTGACCAGGTTCTTTTAGATATTCCATGTGTGGATGGTTTAATGTTTAATATCAGATTTACTTACTTGGAGGTACTCACTGTGACACGGGATTTCTGATGTAGCAGAGCAATACAAAATATACTGAAATCACAGTGGGAATGTAGATTATGCTTGGCAAAACAGTAATGGCAGTATAGCAGTTCAGTTGCAATACCAGTGTGATTCCCATTACTGGTCCTTATAGTAAGCTCACCTTTGCAACACTGCTCATCCACCCTCACTGGGAAGGAATGTGTGGGTTGAAGCCAGCTCAAGCCCGTTGCTCTCTTCAAAATTCTTTTGTTAGTTGTTGGATTTTTATACTCTGTGTTGGGCTGAGCCACGTATTCATTTTGCCCCTGCTGGCCTGGCTAGCTCAGGGGGACATTCACACTCTTTAATGAACTACGTGGGGGAAACGTTTATATGAGTTACCAGGTTTTCTAGGCTAGCTCAATAAGCCTGAGCAAGAGTAGCACGTCTAAGTAACTTCCTTCTTCCATTTGCAAGGGAAAAAAGCAAGATGGTGTTTCATAATATAAAATTATTATAAAATTATTACAAAATCGGTAAGGAATCTGCCAAGAGCAGCCAGTTAGCATCATTTCTATCATATGTGGATATAAGCAGCTGAAATGTGAAAGTCATTAGCTTTACCAAGTCACGTAGTGAACATCAAAGGGAATTGGCTGGGATACTCTGTGTTAAGAAGAGCTGTTCTCTGAAAAAAACCTACTGCCTGTGTTTTCATTTGCAGAAGTGTTTTTTGGTTAAGCATCTACTCAGGATTCTTTGTGTGCATAGAGTTGTGAGTTTGGCTAAACTAACCTTTTTTTCCTTGCATGAGTAATGTTGCTTTGGACTATTCGTTTCAAATAGTAGACCTTTTCTGTTGCTTAAGCTACCTTATTTGGAGAATTTAGTGTCCTGGTGAGGAATGTCTCCTTTTAAATTCTGGAGGAGTGTCTGTTTGTGTTACCTTGATAGCTGGGAGACAACAGCTTGAAGGCTGCCTCGAGAGCTGAATTAACAAGGCATGGATTTTAGCACAAATTATACTGCCCATGATTCCTCAGTTAAGGGTACCTGCTAGTTTCTGTTTAAAGTCAGAGCAAAACCAGTTTCTGGATGGCAGAATATTTGTGGGTTTTGAGGTACTGGAGTCCAAGTGTGCAAATCTTTATGGGACATTTCTCCATCTCCAGAGAACGCATTTTCCAGGTAGGTAATTTGTTCTGTATCTTCAGCTTGCCTGTTCCGCTATGTCATCCATCAAGAAGTCAGGAACTAATAATAAAGCCTGCATTTAACCTGTCTATTGGCTTTTACTGTGACATTCTAATTAATGCTCACATCTGACCTGTGTTTTTTTTTTTCTGTGCTGTCTGTTGCAGTGCTTCATGGCCACAGCAGGGTAAACAGTATCAGAGGAAAACGACGTTAAGACGTATAATTTCCGCTCAGCTGGTTGGAAAAGCAGTTGTCACTGCCTTCCTGGTGCAGCATGGCATTTGGACTTGGTGTTCTCTGCCTGTTCCTATGGGCAATAACAGGTAGGAGTTTACTTCTTGTGTGTCTGAGTCACACGGGACGAGGCAAGGAAATGTTCCTGGGAGTGTGTATGCAGGTGAGAATGAAATATGAATAAGTCAAGAGCTTGTGACTCCTCAGTGCAAAAAGTTCTTGTAAGGTACAGCTCCCTAACTGGTAGTTGCTTGCAAGGGAGGAAGGCAGTTGTGAGTAGCTGTTTGGGGCCAGTTTCAATAGGGCTGTTTCAGAGGAGATGCGTGGGACAAGAGGGGGTAGTGGGGAAGAGTTCATAGAGTTTTCCTTCTCTTTCTCTTGCAGGACAGCAATTTAAGAATGATATATTGCTTGTGTCCTAAGCCACCTTTCTTCATCTGAAGTATCATAGGACGGTTGATTTATGAGAAGCATAAATGCTTTTATTTACATCTATTACCTCATCATCCTCTCTTAGACACACACATTTCCTTTCAAAGACCACAAGAAAGTCCTGTAGGTTTCTGCTTAAGCCGCAGAGATGGGTAGATTATTTCCATAATCAGACATATGAAGAATGACAATAATTCTTAGTACTGTCTCTGTGTTATAGCAAGACTTAACGTGGTACAGTTTTGACATGCCAACTACAGAACAATATATGCAAACATGGGGTTTATTTCTTTAAAAGACACTGTTAGAATTCTGGCTGTGGAGTTACTGGCAGTATCTATATTAGCAGGAATTGAGAAAATTATACTCAGTTACTTGGCTTTCATCTCCTGTAGTATAAATAAGATTAGCCCTTTGATAAGGGAGGGCCTTGCTAATGTGCTAAAGCTTAAATAGATCACTGAATTCAGAAATGCTGATTTGTGGGGGGGATGGGCATTAACTACAGCTGTACTCATAATTGGTTTGAAGTAGTCCTCAAGATCACCCTGAGGATCTCATAGTGCCAAGCCTTTTGAGGAGAACATGGAGCTGAGGTTTTTGTTGCTGTAGTACGCAATAAGTAGGCCTTCTGTAAATAAACAAAATGCTCTGCTATGAGATATTGAGTATCTGCTGTAGAGTCTGTGCCAGTATCTTTAGGGGAAAAAAAGCCACAGCAACTTCAACAGAAGGTAATAATGTGCAGTAAATACTAAATTTTGGCTTAGAGAATGTCATATTATACTTTCGATAATGCTTTTAATTGTTAGAGGCTATAATATCCTCCATGTGCACATAGAAAGTCTTGTGTTCATTCTTTAGTTGCAGTTTTGCTAAACTATCTGAGAACAAGAGCGTTGCACTCTGACTGCTGGCTGTATTCCAAGCCTCTTCCTGTATCTCAGGTACCAGCACACTGTGTTTAGGGCCTAATACCTTCTAGTATCACATACTATTCTAGTATAAATTTTAGTACTTATTTATTGCCATCTTGATAATTTTCAGTATTTTCCATCCAATTAATATTAACGTTAACTAAACTGGAAGGTACTTCCTGATTTCCAGGATACATTTGCTGAAATACATCAGTGGACGCTCACCTTTGTTAAGTCAAAAATACTTTTTTTGTGTGCAGGCTTTAAGGTGAATTGATTCAGGTTCAGGAAGTTGCTAGATGTTCATTCTGCAGTTTTTCTCTGCACGTGAGTTTGTGCTTCTAAAGACTACTTTTTCCTTAAAAGAAGAGTTTTCTTACCACTTATTTTAACTTAAGGTAACGAGGAGGCTGGCATTGCATCATTGAGAGAATAGAGAAATGGTCTCATTAGTTGCTGTCTTTGGAAGGATATTGAAGAGTATGCTCTGGTTTGTCAAGTTGAGGTGGGCTACTCTCTCCTTTTTAGATGACTTGTTTTTTTAAATGGTTTTTCATGAATGTGATGGGTTGGCCTTGGCTAGCTGCCAGGTGCCTAGCAAGTTGCTCTGTCACTTCCCCTTCTCAACAAGATGAGAGAGAAAAATATGATTAAATGCTTATGGCTTGAGATCAGGACTGGGAGATCATAGAATCATAGAATCGTCTAGGTTGGAAGAGAGCCTTGGGATCATCGAGTCCAACCATCTCCCCTACTCTACAAAGTCCTCCCCTACACCATGTCCCTTAGCACTGCATCTAAACGGCCCTTAAACACATCCAGGGATGGTGACTCCACCCCCTCCCTGGGCAGCCTGTTCCAATGCCCGACCACTCTTTCGGTGAAAAATTCTTTCCTAATGTTCAATCTAAACCTACCCTGTTGGAGCTTGAAGCCGTTCCCTCTCGTTCTGTCACTAATTACCTGTGAGAAGAGACCAGCACCAACCTCTCTACAGTGTCCTTTCACGAAGTTGTAGAGAGTGATGAGGTCTCCCCTCAGCCTCCACACGTACTAATTACAGTCAAGAGCAAACCAGACTTGACATAGGAAAGTTAAGTGAATTTATTGCTGATTAATCAGAGTAGGATAATGAGAAGTAAGAACAAATCTAAAAACACCTTCCCCTCACTTCTTCCCAGGCGCAACTTGATTTCCAGCTCTTCTAACTCCTTCCCCTGAGTCATTCAGAGTCATGGGCAATGAGGGTTGCCATCAGTTTGTAATGTTTCCTCTCTTCCACTTCTTCCTCTGCTCCAGCATGGGCTCCCTCCTACAGGATTCTTCCTCTGCTCCAGCATGGGGTCCCTCCTACAGGCTACAGTCCTTCTCATACTTCTCCCATGGGTCCTTCCCATGGGCTGCAGTTCTTCAAGAACTGCTCCAGCATGGGCCCTTTCCATAGGGTTCAGTCCTTCAGCAATGGACTGCTCCAACGTAGATCCCCGACAGGGTCGCAGGTCCTGCCAGAAAACCTGTTTCTGCGTGGGCTCCTCTCCATAGGGCTGCAGTTCCTGCCAGGATGCTGCTCTATCATGAGCTCTCCATGGGGGTCAGGGCTTCCTTTAGGGATCACCCACTTGCTCTGGCATGAGGTCCTCTGTGGGTTGCAGGGTGGGTATCTGCTCCACTGTGGACCTCCATGGACTGTAGGAAAACAACCTGCTTCACCATGGTCTTCACCACAGGCTCCAGGGTAATCTCTGCTCTGCTTGGAGCACCTCTTCCCTCTCCTCCTTCACTCACCTTGATGTATGGAGGGTTGTTTCTCTCACATATTCTTACTCTTCTCTCCTGGCTGCTGCACAGTGTTTTTCACCCCTTTTAAAATATGTTATCACAGAGGTACTACCAGCATTGCTGATCAGCTCAGCCTTGGCTGGCAGTGGGTTCCTCTTGGAACTGGCTCTCTCTGACATGGGGGCAGCTTCTAGTGTCTTCTCACAGAAGCCACCCCTGCAGTCCATTTTTCCCCCATCCCCTGCCTACCAGAACCTTGCCACATGAACACAATACACTGAAAAACAAAGCTAGAACAGTAGGCAGGTCACCTAATGGATATGGATATCTACCACTGACTGATGTTCCTGCCTCTCAGGAGGCTTGAGCTGGATGTGGCAATAGGTGTTAGTGTGTGCCATCTACTTCCAGGTTCGGGAAGTCAATCATCCAAATTGCATGAAATGCTGAGTGACAGAGGCATGGATATGGCATACGTGGTACACACTATACCTATTGCCACGTCCAGCTCAAGCCTCCTGAGAGGCTTAGTCTGTGGATGCAGCTCCTAATTTCTTCATTGTTCCTGCCTCTCAGGAGGCTTGAGCTGGATGTGGCAATAGGTGTTAGTGTGTGCCATCTACTTCCAGGTTCGGGAAGTCAATCATCCAAATTGCATGAAATGCTGAGTGACAGAGGCATGGATATGGCATACGTGGTACACACTATACCTATTGCCACGTCCAGCTCAAGCCTCCTGAGAGGCAGGAACATTAGTCTGTGGATGCAGCTCCTAATTTCTCCACATAGGCATTCCTTGTAATGCCAGTCTCATTTCACTGGCTCATATCCATTCGTTGATGAAATCAGCTTATATGAAATAGATTTAAATTATTCTGACCGTTAATAAAAATCAATAATTTTTATGCCAATGCATCCCAAACTGATATTTTTTTTCCCCATAAGAGATAAAGCCAGTCTCATTTCACTGGCTCATATCCATTCATTGATGAAATCAGCTTATAAGAAATGGATTTAAATTATTCTGACTGTTAATAAAAATCAATAATTTTTATGCTAATGCATCCCAAACCGATATTTTTTTTTTCCCCCATAAGAGGTAAAAGACATTGCTTTCCACCACAGAAATAACAGTTTACTTTGCAACTGGGAATCCAACACCTTGGAATCGATTCAGTCCAGCTCTCATCTTGAGCAGGTGTATTCTGATCTGGCAGACCTTGCGAATGCTGCTATTGAAACGCATTTCTGCAAATATAATAGCATTCTCATGGCTGATTCTCAGTTTTCTCGTACTGTGTGTTCATATTGTGGTGCTTTGTTATGAGATTAGGCACTCTTAACAAAAATGTGAAGATGGATTGGCAGGTAATTGCAGTCACAGGTGGTGTGCAGTCTGGTCTCCTTTTCTTTAACTCCATGCAGCCCAGCCATACATTATATCAGCCCCCAGAGCCTTTTGGGGACATCGCCAGTGTCCTTTTTTTCATTTTCTTTGCTTTAGGGTTTCTAAGTACATTACAAGCCATCAATTTTCAAAAGATTTCAGTACTGCTGGTCTTGATCTCTGAAGAATAAGATGAATGCCCTTTTCTTCCCATTTGAAACACAGGCCAGGAGTGTCAAAGGACACTTTAAGACGTAGGTATGCCCTTGAAATGACAGTGGAACAACTAGCCTTGGGTTGCAGTGTGTTCTTTGTTATTTATACTGTCTTGGCTAGATATTCTGGTTCACACAGGTCTTTCCAGAGAGATGAGATGGTGGAATGCTTGATTGTGATCTCCAAGATGACAGTGAGTTATGCGGTATGCCAGGTTGGTTCACATTGTCCACGTCTCTGTTGGAAGTGGTCTGGTGTTTCCTCGTGGAGGGACGTGATGGCTGCACCCATACATCTACCCTTGTAGTCTCCAACTGCAAATAACCAGTGTCATTGATTCAGTGTCCCTAGATGCTCA